CAGCGCAGCGCCCGGCCCGGCTCCCAGCGCGCAGCCGCGGCGAAGGAGGAGCCGGGCCGGCGGCGGGGGACGGGCCACGGCACCGCTCAACCGGGAGGGAGCTTAACCCCCTCCATGGCTCCGTTCAGCGGCGGAGGGGGGTCCGCAAGGCCCGGCAGCCCCGGGCACTGCCTGCCCCCGAGCGGGGGTTTGCTCCCGCCGCTCGATGGAGATTGTTTTTTATTTTTTTCTTTTAAAACGTAAGGGTTTTCCCCAGTGTGGAGCAATTCCGCCTCCCGTCGAGGCCTTGCGATTTAAGTTTCTCTGCCCTACGTGCCGGTTGGTTGAGACTTAAAAGCCTAATTAGTAACACACCAGCTTCCGCTATTATAGGACCCCCAACAGTCCTCGAGTCACACTGCCAGACCAATTCAGGGCTGTTTTTAAGGGCACTGTCCACGTGCCTCTTAAACACTGACCAGCACGGGGCATCGACCACCCCTTCAGGAATCCTGTCCCTGGATTTGAGAACCCTCTTGGTAAAGAAATATTTCCTAATGCCCAGTTTAAACCTCCCCCAGCACAGCTTTGAACCATTCCTACGTGTCCTATCACTGGACCCCAGGCAGAAGCAATCAGCAAGGCATCTTACATTTCAGATTATAGATTTTTGCTATTTCCTCTGGAGCAATCTGAAAAATCTACAAGTTTAAAAAGCAAAGATGACCACAAACTGGGTAGTCAGGCCTTCTGCCCACATCGATTATAGCATTAACAAGCTGTTCAGCTAGTAACCTGCAACTCAACCCTTCTTATCTTAGCACCTGTTATTCAGATTATTCATCTAACACACTTCTATCTCCTAGTAAAATTATTTTACTGGAAAAACTGCAATGTCTGGTTTAATCAGAAAGTTTTCTCTTTTGCTCATAAACCACGGAGCTTAATTCCAAATTACTGGCTTTCAAAACAACTTTCTGTCAATTAAACAAACCTAAGCAGCTCTAGGAGTTGACCTGCCTTCACAACTAAAGCACCAGAACTTCCAGCAGGTGCTGGATCTTAGAAAAACATCTGGATGATGGCTATGTACCACAGCTGGTCCTCAGCTCAGAATACCTTAAACCAACAACTTAGAACTGGGGATGTTCTGCCGGAGAGGAACCCATCTGCAGTTATGATGCTTTTAAGAAAAAAACAACACCAAAACAGACCAAAAACAGAGTGCCATCATCTTGCACAAGTTTCCCTCCTTGGTGGGAACACCCCCACGTACTCACCACGGCAAAAACCGGAGCCACGCTCGCTAAGGTGGCCTGGGAGGCCTCTGTTGTGCCATGTTGATACAATTTACCTGAGGGAAGAGGAGATGTTTCAGGCCCAGCACACCCCGCTCTGCCCTTCAGCACGCCCTGCCCCGCTACGGGCCGTAAGGCGCCGGGAGGGAAACCAACAACCACCCACCGCGACCAGGAGGCCCCTACGAACGTGACACCGGCCCGGGCAGGAGCCCGGGGCCGCCCCGAGTGCCGTGGGTTTCCAGTCACCCTCCCTCTCACCCTCCTTCCCCGCCCGCGGCCCAGCGAGGCCTGTGGAGGCGCCGCCGGGGCCTGGCCGTAGGGGCCTGCCCGCCCCAGCCCCACCGCTCACCCGCCCAGCGCAGCCCCCGGGCGCACGGCG